ATATGCTCTGGCAACTAACCTTGAAATGACATGGGATTATCCTAACACTGAGATTAGAATAACCACACGTAGTTTACATAATAATGTGAGGGACGAGTATGAAAAAATCCAAACCTAAAGCAAATCTCCATGTCCCAGGTACCTATCCTAGTAGGATTTGTGTTCCACAGCAGAGCTCTGTGTTATAACATTAATATTTGATCAGACCCATATGTGCAAAGTCATTGTGAGTTTTAAGAGTGGAAGATGGTGTCTAAAGAAGTTGCTGCTGTTCCTCTTCCTCAGAAAGCATGCCCCCATGTTAGCTGAGCTGTGCCATTTAAAGTGATGTCAATCTGGGTTTCAGGAATGCATTTGTCTTAGTAAAGTGATCCAAATGCTTTTTTTGCCTGGGCCATTATTTTAAAAGTTACCCTGAAGTTTTGAATAATAGTACAGTAGCACCTTTTTTCCAGCATGAATGGAGGGAGAAAATATTTCCCCACATAAAACATAAAATTTCAGAAGTGCTGGAGTAAGTGCATATGGGTGAGTGTGTGCTTTTGTACCTGCAGGGCAAATGTCCCATCCTTCCCTTCTGACTGTGTCAGTGCATGGGGAAATCAGCCAGACCCATTTTCCTTGTCTTACCCTATGAATTTCTAGGTCATTTCCATTGGTCTTTGAACTGCTGGGCATAGGTAACTAAATTAGTACCATCTCAGAAACAGGGCTGTTCATCTCCTCTCCTCACTCTTAACATGCCTGTGCAGTCTGAGCCACAGATTGGCCCCTATTGATCTGATTTGACTACGCTTCTCTGGAGTAGACAAACAGTGCAAGAGGATCCAGGGACTCTAATTCACAGCACCTTCTTTGGGTTCCTAGGTAATAATTCTTATTTGCATTAATCCCTTGCATTAATCACACAGAATCCAAGGCTGCCTCTTGCCTTCAATGCATTCCTGTTCGTGACAATACAACAAAAAGGTACCTCTGAAGAAAGTGTTTTAAGTATGTTGACACTTGATATTTAATAGTTGCAAAACTTAACAGTTATAAAAAAGACATTTTTTCAAATCAATGACTCACACATTACTGTAAAAAATATTGATTAAAAACAAAGCATAATGTTAGTCATTTAGTCAGTAGAGTGATGCAATACTGAAATAAATTTATCCCTTGACTTTTGCATTAACCTTTTATTGACTGCTTGCATACTCATAATTAACACACACTTTAGCTAACTTGGTTGATTTTAGCATTGTGATCAGTGTCCTCTAATGTAGATGACACCCTGATCATCAAAAATCAGTGCAGCCCAGGGAACTGTGACCAGGCAAGTGTCTGCTCAGTGGATGCACACCTGCCCATGGAGATACCAGCCACCTTCCAGGGACAGCATCATGTGCTGTTATGCAAATAGTCAAACATTCATACAAATGTTTGCCATCACTTAGTTGAACATTGGTAAATATTAATGAGCAAAGTCCATTTGTCAAAAACAGGCAAAAAGGTTATGAAAAATCTGAAAACTTAGAGGGTAGAGGTAGTGAGAACATGCTCTTCAACAGTAACAGAAAATGGGTTTTAAATTGAAACTGTCACAAGTCTTGATTGTTTTAGTAAGAAAGTAGGGGCCATGGAGTTTTGTGCATTCTGTAAACAAACAATTCTTTCTATAGTATGTTATTGAACACTTACTGTCAAGATGTTGCAGCTAAATTGCTCTGAAATAATCACGGCAGTTTTCCTGTCCTCCTGCTGGAGATAAAGTGAAGGAATCTATTCTGTATTTCAGAGTTTGTGTGATTTCCACTTTTACACAGTTTTTACATAGAATATACACAGGTTAGTTCTGTTTTCCTTCAGAATTTTGACTTTAGAAACTCAAATAACAATTTTTAATTGATATGGAATATTTTAATTAATTTACAATATTGTAAATCTTCATACTTTCCCACTACCACCACAGCTTGATGTTTGCAGCCTTTTTTTGTTTATTTTTATTTATCAGGAGCTAATGTTACTAACTCATGCCAACTGTCAGATACAAAGAATTTTAAATAATTCTGCGCAATCATTTAGATGCCTTTGATTGTTCTGCTTCAGTTTAAAATGTTGCTATGCTTTTGGCAAGATCTTCAGTGGCTCTGTTCCACTGCTACAGATTGAAGACCATTGTAGGAACAATTTCTCCTGTAGAATTTTTTTTTTAATGAGAAATATACTCATCTAGAAAGGTCTGGGCTTTGCATCCTAATTCTGAATGAGAAAGCACATTTTTGACCATGTTCCAGATTGTGGGAGTTATTCAGGTGAATTCAACTGCCAGGTGCAGCAGTGACTGCCTAGAACCAGCCCCATAGCTTTGAACATGAAAAATTTAAACTGTCTTTGATGTCAGCAGATCCAGTACAGGGGTTGCAATTTTGGTCAAAATAGACGATTGACAAATTATAAAAATATATTTCCCTGCTGTTCTTGCTAGTATGGACCAAAGCTGTAGAAACCAACAGAAGGATGAAAGTACCATGGCATTGCTGAACTTGGAGTGCTATGGCACTGCTTTCCCTTTTTTGTATTTTTACAGCACATGCATGCATTTCTGTCATCACACTGGCACAGCCAGTCAGGACCTGACACACTTCTATTCCTTTAATCCCTCACATGGAATATGCTATGGCTAAAACTTCCCCAATTGCATGATTTCCTGGAAGTTCAGGCATGTGCTTGGTTGTGGGGAGACTCCTCATCAATGGCTCTGCTGGTAACAAATACAGAAAAGGGAAAGTAGGAAGTGGTGGCTCTTGGGTTGTCCAGGCAGAGCATCACCGTGGCTGCCACCACATTTACAGCAACACAAACACCCACATGGGAGGGAAAAGTGGTCAATCTGTTTGTGTAAGAGAACAAGGAAAAAAAAGACATGAAAGGTAAAAAGAGATTATCTTTTTACCTCTGAAATGCTGAGGAAGCTAAAGGTTGATACATCTTTTCTCTCAGTGAAAACTGTTAATAGATGTGAGAGAGAGAAAATGGTTTTTATGATTATTATTATTAGCTGAGTTTTGCAGATCACATAACATGCCTGCAGTATTTACTGGCTGAGCTTTTTGATTTGTCATCTGCAATAATCACTACATGGTTAATTTATCCACTTTTAGATAGAAATGCTTAAACTGGAATGTCTTATACTACCCACCAAATTGAGTGTATTTTTTTGTGCCAAGACAGAAAATAAAGAAAGCTTTTAAAAGCCTTACAGAGTTATGCTGTAATTAGTTTCAGCTTCCCCTGCATATTAATTTTCTCCTGTTCCTTTATATAATTTGGAAAATGTCTTCAGAACATGATGGCACAATCAGTTAAGTACCTCTCAGAACTCACACACTAAACTGCATTTGCTGTAACAACTATTATAAAGCAGCCAGCAAAACAAATCCTCTGTTATTCTGTACAGTGCAGCTTATCAATGCAAACAGTTTAATATTTATGCTAAGAGGATTGTCACAAGTAGCTTCTGTTCCTTTAATTCTTGTTTTAAATAAATAATGAGAACATTTAAACACATTACTCTTCCCAGGGCCCTGAGGTCGGCTAATCTTATTATTTATGAAGTGATGTGCTACATAATAGTACTTAGTGCATGTTAACAGATGCTATTATCAGGGGCTGATGTGGAAAGCTGAAGATATATTGGAATGCTATGTGTTAATACTGTCCTTGTAGTGTAATGTACGATGGATTGAGTGCCCAGGATGCTGGTGCAGCAATTAACCACCCACCAACATGGGTGTAAAGCTGAAGTATGTTTTCTCATGGGGATTACACTGCTATTAATAATTCCCAGGAGAAGAAGACATCGTTCATTTGGCAACAGTCTCTTCCAGAAGGTCAATGGTGTGGACAAGGAAGTTGAGTGTGTCAGTATTCTTACAGTTCATTCTAGTGAGGTGAAAGATGCATATATGTTTAAAATAACTTTAAAGCTCTTACCAAAATTATATGCTTTATAGAACACAGATTTTAAAAATGTTATACAAGACATAAAAGTGCATTTCTGCAATTTGGTTGTTAATTCTTTGAAGAGCTATAGAGACATGCAGTATGGACCAAAATTAAGGTAATTCTCAGCATTTTTCTTTTTTTGCTCCATTGCAAATATCAACTAATTAATCAGCAATGTGAAAATTGTTTGAGGGAAAGGGAAAAGAGAAGGGGAGAAATCCTCCTTGAACTGTGACAATGTTTTTGATGTGGCATGTATTAGTCTAATCTTTAGAAATATGATGGTTGCCACTTGTAAAAACTTTCCTCTGCAGGCTGCAGTTCAGTTGAATATTATAATTAGACTTCACTAGTATTGATGAATAATCCATTTAATAAAAAACATTGTAATTTAAACATTTTCTCTGGGGACTTACATACACTAGCTTCTTAATTTAATTTTATTGAAGTTTTGCCCACCCATTCATCATTGAAAGTTGTTATTAACCTCCATTTACATTTTTCTTTATAGAATTTCCTCTTTTTATATTGCCTTTTTCAGTGCTAAGCAGGTTGATACACTTGTAAATCTCCAGAATCTACAAAGCTAGTCTGGCTTCTTTAATGTTGTTTAATCTATCCCCCCTGACCTTAATGCAGTAAATTCAGTTTAATCTTTCTCAATAATCTAGTAATACATTGGAAACCAGCAAACATTTAAATCTGATAATGATTTAATCACATACTTTAAATAACAGCTGAGATAATGAAAAAATAATTCACCATATAAAGGAACACTAACTGAGTTTTCTCTGTGATTGGCTTTTTGAGAAATCCCTATAGAAAATACAAAGCCTACAACAGAAATCAACTTCACTGGAAATGTGCAATCCATTTGGTGTCAGAAGATGTCGTATTTCTTTTTTTATAATCTTTCTCTTTAAATTAATGCTCAAATGTATCCTTGCTGAGTATTCAGTTTCTTGATACAGTTTTACTTAAGTGGTTTATCTGCTTACCTTTCTTTTCAGATGCCAGTCAGACGCAGCAGAGAGCTTGCCAGAAGACCAGAAACCAGAATGCCATCCCTTCTGGACAGATGATGATGAATGTAATATGCCTCTGCCATATGATCTAGAAGAAGTAATTGCTTATCTACAAAATCTTGTTCAATGGATAGAATAACAAGTGACCTTCCAGCCTAGAATTATTGATGCTGGTCATCTGGGGAGAAGCTTTGTCGTTACCATAAATCTTTTCAGCTTTATGATTTCTTGATTGTATGTTATTTTATGTGTCAATGCAGATTTTATCGGTCTTTACACAGTAGCTTAGTTACTGTCTCATAATAAAAAAGACCAGCCCTCAAATTTACAGAAGCATGTGTTTTTTAAGAGCTGAAGTCCAGAACACCAGCCTTAGTTCCCTCCTCCTGCACTCTAATTCCCATTAACCCTGCAGCCCAGGGATATCTGTGTTTCACAGGATCACACGATGGGTCAAGTTTGAAGGGACCACAGTGGGATCACCGGGTCCAACCTCCCTGCTCAAGCAGAGCTGCCCAGAGCACAGGGCACAGGGTTGTGTCCAGACAGTTCTGGAATGTCCCCAGTGAGGGACACTCCACAGCTCTGGCCAGGCTGTTCAGGGCTCGGGCTCTGCACAGCAAAGAACTCCTTGCTCATGTCCAGGGGCAACTTCCTGGGCATCATTCCTGCCCCTTCCTCTTGTCCCATTGCTGGCACCAGGAGCAGAGGGTCCATCCTCTGACACCTTCTGCAGATACTGACAGAGATCAGCAGTGTCCCCTCTCAGCCATCTGTTCTTGAGGCTGAGCAGGCCCAACTCTGCCAGTTGTTTTGACACATTCCCTTGGTATCTAAATTTCAGCTTCCGCAAGTGCCTAGAGCTGTCTCTGGCCTGGCAGGTGTGAGCAACCCAAGGTGTAGCTCACAGGGGTGGCAAAGCAGACTGCATGATCTGGGCATCCTAATGAGAGCCCAGCTTGGGCTGAGTCTGCTGGAGATCTTCAAAATAGAGCTGTGAATTCTCAATCCAGTAACTCAAAGGGGCAGGAGATAACTGGAGGTATTCCTTTGTGAAGTGGCTCCTTCTCAGACCATTTCTTCAGATGAGGAATTCTGTGGGAGTATTCTAACATAGATCCCAAGACTTTCGTACTGTTTTGCCTCATGGCAACAGAGTACTACTAAGAGAGATTTCTAATGTGAATCTGTACCTCCTGGGCTCCCTGGGATTTAGAATTCAGTTTTTATCATTACTTTGTTTCTGCATGTTGTGAATCCTATTCTGAGGTCAGGTTTCCCAGAGCATTTCCTAAAGATGTGATGGACCTAACTAAGACCTTCCATTAGGGTTGTTTGGTCCCCTGAGAAACTAGATTTAGATTGTGTCATTTTGGGTATCAATATCACAGCATCAAGTGAGATCTATGAGCACAAACCCAAAAGCTATGAAAAACAGAACTGTTTGTGATGTTTTGTAGTAACGTGCTATAAAAAGAACAATTCTGTGTGGAATGATACAGGGTGCTCCTGAATGAGATAGAGAATTTTGTTTTGGTAAATTGCTATTTTATCTGAACTGGTAGGGCTGGCGTCTGACTTTGCCACAAAAAGCAGAAAATCATTACAGTGAAAAAGCACTCAGGCTGTATTACCAAAGAAGCCAGTAAGGTTCAGAGTTTGATGTTGCCACCAATAAATGAATATGCCTCTTGTGTTAATGTGGTGTTTAAAGTTTCTGCTGAGGCTGGACTCACCCAGAACACATCAGCTTCTGTACTGGCAAAGTGCTGTGTGTGTGGATGAGGCTTGTACTCCCGAAAATTGTGCTTTTGACAGTATAACATATGCCAGACCTCCCTGGAGCTAAGGAAGCTGTGCCAGTAAAAAATTCAGTTTTAGTGGTATAAAACTGTGTCCACACCTAACAGCTTTTGCCAGGACAATTATATCAAGTAGAGGTTGTACCTCATAAGACTTTAGGTAAAGCTGTGCCAGCAAAAGTATAAAAATACCTGAATCAAGTGTTTCCATCGTAGTCCTGGGCTTCTGCAAAAACTTCTAGTTATCCTGTGGAATGTAAAGACTCTCTGAAGAATAAGTTATTACTTAAACTAGGTTTGATAATATTACCATGATCCACGCATTTATCTGTTGTCTCTTGTGCCATAGAATTCATAACATTTGGAAATACAGCTCTGAGCATAGCTTTTACTTCCCTGCACTAGTTAAAGCTGGCTTTACCAGTGGCATATTTGGATTAGTGCCACACTAAACACTGTTTACTTTGGAGATTGCTTAGAGAAAAGCTACTGAAGACGTGGGAATTCTGCTTTTGAAAAGGCACTTCTCAGAAACAGATCTTGCTTTGGAAATGAGCAATATGAATTCAGACAAGCTAATGATGTAACAGTGTTAACACAGTGTTTAGGGGAACTGTTTATTTATGCTGTTATGTTATGATCACTTTGTGTTTAATTAAGCGTTGCTAAAATCCATAGGGATCATGGTATTGAAAGGAATCTGACCTTCACAAAGGGTGGGGAAGGCACATCAATGATATAGTTTGTAGCTGAAGTGGAGGCAAAGCTATTAAAAAATGATTGGCAAATAATTATTTCCAGCAGCAGTAAAAATAAAACCAAACTAAAACAATCCCAAACCTATTAGGAGACTGATGGCAGTAATAACAGAATTTTTAGAAAACACGTTCCCAGGTCTTGCCTATGCTTGAAGATTTAAGGTAGTGAATCAGCTGAACTAGTACTAGTTTCAGTACAGTCAGATGCCACTTATCTAAGCCATGGATAGCAATGATATGGACAAATGAACACCTTTAGACTAAGACTGCCAAAATACCAATAATCAACTGGTTTAGGGCTCTGTGTTGCATTCCAGTCTTGCATCATCTAAATCAGTATAACCTGATTGAGTTCAGTTGTAATGCAGAAGTATAAGAAGATTTCATATCTCCAAAGCCCACAGGAGTTGATAGCAATAACATGAGTAAGGTGGTGGAACTATTAGAAGCACATAGTAATGCCAAAGGGTACCCCAAAAGGAGAACAGGGTTAAAGGTAAATATGTATAAAAAAAACAGAGAGATCAAGTATAAATTATTGCTATGTTTAGGTTATGTGTTAGAAGCTGACAAATACTTTGAAGATTTCTTTATTTTATTCAAGTAGTTATAATTTAGTTTGTTTCAATGATTCTTTAGCAATCCATTTATATTCCAGCATTAGATAACCCATTTCCTTTTCGAAAGAGCTGGAAGACACAGCCTCTAATTAATGTTCTGCGTGTAGCAATTGTTTGCCAAGCCTGGATGCTTTAGAAGCATGAGGACCAAGGTCAAGTTTTTTCAAGGAAGAGGTGAGAGCATAAATTAACTTCTGACATTAAATTCAGTGGTTCTTTTAAAGTGGTGAAGTTCACGATTTTGCTTACATTTACTTTTCATCAGCCAGGCCTGAATTGAGGTAAAATAGTTCACTTGCACGTGTGCGTCAGGCTAAATGGATTGCAGAAGATACAGATCTGTTTGCCTGTCTGCACTTGCCTTTAGACAATATTCATCAATTTTACAAAAGCTACTGACTAAACATGGAACCAGTACAAATGAAATGCTTAAGGCAAGGGCTTTCTTTTATAAATCTGATACAGAGTTGGTTTTGCACTGATAGAGAGAAAATGTTGGCAGAAAATTAAAAACTTCTATAGTTTCTGTAATTTGGGGGATGAAAGATACAGACTATTTTAAAGTATTTGATAGAAAACTGCTGTGTTATGCAATGTAATTAGAAATGTTTTTATAATGCATTGTTCATATCTGTGTATATGAAAATGTTTTATGCCATAGGTCTTTTCTTCTGTTGAAAAGGTTATGTAAATAAATAAAATAATCTCAAGAGATTTTAAAGGCATACTTATGTTCTAAGTTTTACAGCAGGTTCTGATTATTTAAAGGGTAAATAAGAATGCCGTGGGTAATCACTGACTGAAAACTGTGCAGGATGGGTAACATGCACCATAATAAATATCCAAATCAGTTGTCATATTATCATCTGAATATGGTTTTAGTTTCACTGGTAGTAGTACAAGATGCACTATAAAATCATGCTGGACTACTTAATACAGTGGGGCAGATTCAAAGATTCTGTTCATATAACAGCACAGAAATCAAAATATTAATAAAATCCATCATGAAAGGTGACTAAAATATTACAGTGTTTTAAGAGTTGGCATTGCTCCTTTCTCAGTTATAGTAGTCCTGTGCCATGCAGTGGAGTTTGGGCTGTTGGATATTAAACCAAGGCAGGCTTAGGTTTAGCCTTAGTCTAAGCTGGGCTGAGAGCAGAGCAAGACGAGTTGGGATGCACAGGAGGCTCAAGGGATGTGATTTTTCAAGGCCACAACTTCATTAACTGGACTCATATGGGAGTCATTGAGCTCAAACTTGTACAGTGCAGGTCAGGCTCCCTCTCTTAATTGTTACCACCTGGTGCAAAGTTAATATTGGCTCCTAAACCCCTTCCTGTCCCTGACAGCCAGTCCTCAGCTTTCTGCTGGGATCTGACCGCTCTCAGCTCACACCAAGATTGCAGAGTTGACAAGAATGGTTGTTCCACTGTAGCAACTGGATTGAGAAACTTTCATCCCCAACTTCAGCCTCAGCCTCCATCCTGCTACAGCTCCATGGACTGAGTACCTTCAAAGATTCTGCTTCTCATTTGAGATTCAAGTTGCTGCACTCATCTTCTGTTATGCCCTACCAGGACAGTGATCTGACACAGAGAAGGGTCAGACAAGAAGAATTCTTGTTTGCATGAGGTTCCTCATCAAAAACAGACACCCACTGCACTCCCCATAAGAGTGAAAAGTTCAAGACTACAATAATCTTCCTTTAGAGGGTGGGAGCTGCTAGGGAGTGATGAAAGACTCTGCCTAAACCAGCAGCATTCATTGTTCTGTAGGACTCCCATCCTGCCCTGTACAGGCAGAGGCAGTCCTGAATAGAGCCATGCTCTCTTTCCTGTCCAAACTGACTCTTCACCTTCAGTGTGACTGGGCTTGCACCTTCATTTACATTCATCTGTCCTCTTCATCTTAGCCTGAGGGCATTCACTGAACAAGAGAAGATAATTTATACCATTACAAAAAGACTGTACATAGAAAGGCTACAGAACTGGCTGAATAACATGTAAAATAAAAGCCAAGAAATGACCGACAAAATTAGCACATTAAAATGCTGATATTTAGGCATGAGAACTTCACATATCATGGGAACTCTTGTTTCTCTTCTTGCTGCTTAGGAGATAACATTCATAATCCAAAAGAATGTA